ACAAGAAATTCAACTTCTTTAGTAAACCACGGTTCCCTCGCTCGACCACTTCCTCCCTGCCTGACAGGTACATACTTCTCAAGGACACGCAGTAGCTGTTCCTTGAACAGGCTCCACATTTCAATTGTGCCCAGCCCCTGCAGTTTCCTTCTCCATCCTATGCATCCTAAATCTTGCCTCATCGCCTCATAGTTGCCTTTCCCCCAGCTATAACTCTTGCCCTGCTTTATATACCGATCCCTTTCCATCACTAAAGTAAACGTAACTGAATTGTGGTCACTATCACCAAAGGGCTCTCCTACCTCCAAATCTAACACCTGGCCTGGTTCATTACCCAGTACCAAATCCAATGTAGCCTCGCCTCTTGTTGGCCTATCTACATACTGTGTCAGGAAACCCTCCTGCACACATTGGACAAAAACTGACCCATCTGAAGTCCTCGAACTGTAGCGTTTCCAGTCAATATTTGGAAAGTTAAAGTCCCCCATAACAACTACCCTGTTACTTTCGCTCCTATCCAGAATCATCTTTGCAATCTTTTCCTCTACATCTCTGGAACTTTTTGGAGGCCTATAGAAAACTCCCAACAGGGTGACCTCTCCTTTCCTGGTTCTAACCTCAGCCCATACTACCTCAGTAGACGAGTTGTCATCAAGTGTTCTTTCTGCCACCGTAATACTGTCCTTGACTAACAATGCCACACCTCCCCCTCTTTTACCACCTTCCCTGATCTTACTGAAACACCTAAACCCCGGAACCTGCAACAACCATTCCTGTCCCTGCTCTATCCATGTCTCCGAAATGGCCACAACATCGAAGTCCCAGGTACCAACCCATGCTGCAAGTTCACCCACCTTATTCCGGATGCTCCTGGTATTGAAGTAGACACACTTCAAACCACCTTCCTGCCTGCCGGTACACTCCTGCAACCTTGAAACCTGATTTGTGACCTCACTACTCTCAACCTCCTGTACACTGGAGCTACAATTCAGGTTCCCACCCCCCTGTTGAATTAGTTTAAACCCTCCCAAAGAGCATTAGCAAATTTCCCCCCCAGGATATTGGTACCCCTCTGGTTCAGGTGTAGACCATCCCGTTTGTAGAGGTCCCACCTACCCCAGAATGAGCCCCAATTATCCAGGTATCTGAATCCCTCCCTCCTGCACCATCCCTGTAGCCACGTGTTCAACTGCTCTCTCTCCCTATTCCTCGCCTCGCGAGCACGTGGCACGGGTAACAAACCAGAGATAACAACTCTGTTTGTTCTAGCTCTAAGCTTCCACCCGAGCTCCTTGAATTTCTGCCTTACGTCCCCATCCCTTTTCCTACCTATGTCGTTGGTGCCTATGTGGACTACGACTTGGGGCTGCTCCCCCTCCTCCTTAAGGATCCCGAAAACACGATCCGAGACATCACGGACCCTGGCACCTGGGAGGCAACACACCAACCGCGAGTCTCTCTCGTTCCCACAGAATCTCCTATCTGTCCCCCTAACTATGGAGTCCCCAATGACTAATGCTCTCCTCCTCTCCCCACTTCCCTTCTGAGCAACAGGGACAGACTCTGTGCCAGAGACCTGTACCCCATGGCTTTCCCCGGTAAGCCGTCCCCCCCAACAGTATCCAAAACGGTATACTTGTTTTTGAGGGGAATGGCCACAGGGGATCCCTGCACTGTCTGCCTGTTCCCTTTCCGTCCCCTGACTGTAACCCATCTACTTTTTTCCTGTACCTGAGGTGTGACTACCTCCCCGTAACTCCTCTCAATTACCCCCTCAGCCTCCCGAATGATCCGAAGTTCACAGAGCTTTACCCCCAGCTCTCATTCTATTGGTTGTCTGATATGTCATTTCTCAACATTAGCCACCAGATTTCTTCATTTTCGTGGCATCCCATTCTTCCACAGTCATTAAAAAGTGAGCAACCTCTTTATGAAAACCGAAAGAACTGCGGATGCTGTTCTGAGGAAGGGTCAGAACGTAAATCCGACTTTTTCTTCACAGATGTTGCCAGACCTGCTGAGTTTTTCCAGCAACTTCTGTTGTCGTAATCTCTTTCTGAAACCTTTCAATGACTCTTGACTGCCAGACAGACTGTTCACAACCTGTCTCCAGTACAATAAGTTGTACAAAGTTTAAAAACAGAGGCTTTGTTAATAACAGCCTTCTAGATTTACTTTGATTGCTCCCAGTGATGTCCTTTAGGTACTGTTGGCACTTTAATGGATAGCATGGTGGCTCAGTAGTTAGCACTGCTGCCTCACCAAGGGATTTTAGTTCAATTCCAACCTCAGGCAACTGTCTGTGTGGAGTTTACACATTCTCCCCGTGTCTGTGTTGGTTTCCTCCGGGTGCTCTGGTTTCCTCCCACAGTCCTAAGATGTGCAGGTTAGGTGGATTGGCCATGCTAAATTGCCAATAGTGTCCAGGGATGTGCAGGCTGCGTAGGTTAGTCATAGTAATTGCAGGGTTGCAGGGGTAGGGGGTGGGTCTGGGTGGGCTGCTTTTTGTGGGGTTGGTGTGTACTCAATGGTCTGCTTCTACACCATAGGGATTCAATAAAAATAAATGTTAAATTGAGGCAACAATAACTCTACCCTGATAATGTATTTTTTAATATTTTAATGGTGTTGCAGTCAGGGCTAACATTAATTTGTTTTCCATGGTTTCCCAAATTTTCGATGTATGGTGTATTTGGCAGTATGTGATATTATCACTACTTTTATTATGACAGTACAGTAGGGGATTTAATCCTTAATCAGTTCCTGAAATGTACTACTTGTACACATCCCCTGACTTTTACATTAGAAATAGGGAGAAGGAAACAAAGCACTGAGCAGAATCTTATTAGCACAGGCCACCACCCACCTTGACTCTTTCTGCCCTTCTCGTAGCCGTTTTCCTCCCGGAGTGAGAGAAGGCAGCTTCAACTGGATATGGAAGTGGGTAGTGAAATAACTCCCCAGAGGCTGGTATCCCATCACCAAATCACCTTTTATTTATACGTGGAGAGTCCTTGACACTGATCCAGCTCTCAAAGTGAACAGAGCCTCACACATTCCTGTTTATATCTGTCAGCCAGGGCTCCCTGATCGGATCAGATTAACGGCCCCAATCAGAGGACTCAGATTCAATGAGGTCCACCTGGCTGACCCTGGTTATAATCACTACAGGTAGCACTGCTGCTCCTGTTGGTGCGGACAGCTAGATTTCCCGAGCAGTGAATAGGCGGTGCAGAGGGCCTGCAAGGTTAGTGTTAGCAGAGTCTGGGACAGTGACAGTGAGTGAGAAAAGATGTTGCAGGCATTAGTGAGAGTGATAGAGCATGAGCTTTGGTAGCAGGTGGGCTCTGTAGCAGAGATAGAGTGAGTAATGAGGTGAGTTTGGTGAGGCGAGGCCTCGTGGTGAAAAACCCTTCAAAATATTCAATGCAACTCACACTTCCCCAAAAACCTTCAGATTCAGTCTAGTGTGTTTATGTGTAATCTGAGGTGACACACAAAGGCAATCTGTCAGTCTATACTTACTGTTATGAAATAAAATTGAGCAGAGTTTGGTAATCACACAAGAGCAGAACAGTACCAGCCAATTTGCTGATGCAGCTTCATGCATCTGGACACATTCCGAAAATGCATAGTGACTATTTGAGCATGTTGGCCTTGCGGTCAATGTCAGCCTTTCAAAATGTTCTGTGTTTGAAACCCATGGAAGAGCACTGACAGAAAATCTGTATTTCAGGCAGTTGCGTTATGAGTGGAACATGCAGAACAATACTTGCTATGTGGTCCAGGCCAGCAGCTCCTTCACCTATGGCTATGAATATCTTGGCTGCTCACCCCGATTAGTAATCACGCCACTCACTGACCGCTGTTGGCTTACTCTGACTGGAGCCCTGCACCTGAACCTTGGAGGCTCGCCTGCAGGACCAACAGGAACTGGCAAAACAGCAACTGTGAAAGACCTTGCCAAAGTAAGAGTCAAGTATGATACATGATTAGAATGTTATCTTTCCCAAATCGCTGACACTTGAAATTCAGCTCCAATTCAGCTGCAATTTTAATGGAGGCTTTCACAAATACAGTGCAGTAAAATTAACATTATGATCAATAAGTCAGTTTCCTTTCTAAATGTTAGATTAATAGATGTTAGATTAATAAATGCCTGATTGAAACATAGAACATTTAGGAGCAAATTTAGTTCAGAGGAAAATAGGAACAGGACTAGGTCATTCAGCCCCTCGAGCCTGTTCCACCATTCAATGAGATCATGGCTGATTTGTGGCCTAACTCCATATTCCTGCCTTTGGACCATATCCCTTAGCATATTTGCTTAATAAATATTTCTTTATCTTACCTGAATACTGACTGGGATAGTGGTAGTGTAAGGATCTGTGAAGGAAAAGTGTTCCTAAAGTGTTTTCAGGAGAATTTCCTACAGCACTGTGTTTGCAGTCCAAAGAGGAAGGAGACACTGCCAGCTCTGGTTCTGGCAACTAAGATGAGCCAAGTAGATGAAATGACAAAGGGGAACATTTAGGGGAAAGTGATTACTGTGTCATAAGATTCAGGGTAACTATGAAAAGGGTGATGAATAATGCAGAGTAAAAATAATTAATGAGGAAAGCAATCTTCAATGGGTAAGAAATAGATGTGGGTCAAATAAATTAGAGTCAAAAACTGGCAGGAAAAGAAATAGTGGAGCATTCAAAGAAGAGAGAGTAAAGGTATATTCCCTTCAACAGAAGCTATAAGGCAAACAGGTCCAGATGGTTGGGTGACAAATAAGGTAGAAATAATGATAAAAAAGAAAATGTGTACTTGTGGCAAACGTCGGGCAGAAAATAGAGAAACAGGCTAAATGTAAAAGCTCCAAGGAAGGAGGTAAAACAGCAAATGAGAGAAACAAAGAGGGAATGTCAAGAGACTGACAGCTAACACAAAAGGGAATTCCAAAGTCTTCTGTTGCCATTTAAATAATAAGAAGATGGTGTGAGGAGGAGTGGAGCTGACTAGAGAGCAGAAAAGGAAATTTACTCATGGAGGAATGATAACTTTGCATCTATCTTTACCAAGGAAGGAGACATTAACTAGGCCATTGTAAAAGAGGAAGGAATTCAGACACAAGAGGGGCTGTTAACTGTCAATCATCATTAATTGCTGCATTCTCCATGGCATTGCCTGTAAAAAGTTATAATCCACTAGCGAAAAAGTTAGCACTCTCCTTTCGAGCAGTAAGAAAATTGGTTTTCCCCTTGACTTGATATTCTTGCAAATGGTCCTGTTGAGTGCAAGATGAAAAGCTTCAACAAAAGAATATTTTTTCAGCAATAATTAAGTTGTGTACAGGTAGTTCTGCAATAACGCATGTTTTGTTAATAGGAATTGGCTGTAATGCGATTGATGAATAGTGGATGCTGTCTGGATAACACAAACTTTCTGCTGTATGGGTATAGCAATTTTCTATGGCGATTTCCCCATAATGCAATTTTCTATAGCACGAGGTCACACAAGAATGCAACTATTGTGTTGTAGGACAACTGCCTGTAATTCCAAATGACTATTCACTAAAGGTGGAAGGACATATGGAGAGACAATGTTAATACAGAAGAGATGTACAAGAATGGTTCCTGGGATGAGGTTCAGTTATAGAGAAAAATTGGAGAAGTTGTTCTCTTTGAAGAAGGAAAAGGTGAGAGCAGATCTGATTGAAATATTCAAAATCATTTGGACAGATATTTTCATGCAGCAAGTGGTTAGGGTCTGGATTTCCCTTTTTGAGAGCGTGGTCAAAGCAGCTTTAATTGGGGCATTCAAAGGGAGTGTTTGAAAAGGAACAAAGTGCAAGTTTACAGGAATGATGTAGGACAATAACCCTAAATGAGATGCTCATTTGAGAGCTGGTGCAAGCATGGTGAGCTGAATGATTTTTGTCTAAACATGCTATAGAAATACAAGTAACTGTTATCGCGATATGGATCTTCTTTCTTCAGAAATGTATCTCATTTATTCTGCCCATTCAATATTCTTCTCTGCTGACACTTAATTACCCTCAAGGAGACTATATTCTCCCTTTCCTCCTCCTCCCTCCATCTTTTTCTGTTGCTCTCTCCCCACAATAGATTATGTAAATTGTTTCCCTTCAAGGTCCCAAAAATTTACTTGAATCACATCTCTTTATTGTCAGAAGCTGGTAAGTATTGTCAGTAACTACAGCATTACCTAATTGGGGCATGTTTTATTCAGTGAGCAAATGGGTTTGGTCAACTGATGAGCACTTCTGATAGAAGCTGAGACAAAACGGTGCTGCCTGAGCCTGTTGTACAACCAACACATGAAATGCAGACAGTGCTAGTGACACAATGGTTTATAGATTTGAAAGCTAATGCCATCAGTCCTCAAATGGTATGTTACAAGATAGGAATAGACACCTCCAGTTGGACTGGAGCAGATTGTTGTGTTCTGTTTCCTCTGATTTTGAGCCACTAACACCACCATCAAAAGTAGGTAGAATTCTGATAAGAGTTTAAAAGGGATCCAGGGAAAGAAGCTGCTCCCCTTCTCAACTCTCCAGTTTGGAACTTAGGAACAGGAATAGGCCAGTCAGTCCTTCGAGCCTGTTCCACCATTCAAAAAGATCATGGCTGACCTGTGGCCTAACTCCATATACCCACCTTTGGTCCACAACCCTTAATACCTTTGCTTAAGAAGAATTTAATCTGAATAAAAAACCAAAGAACTGCAGACGCTGGAAATCAGAAACAAAAACAAAAATTGCTGAAAAATCTCAGCAGATCTGGCAGCATCTGTGGAGACAAAGCAGAGTTAATGTTTTGGGTCCAATGACCCTTCTTCAGAACCTAATCCATTCAGAATTTAATTGAAGTCAGGTTTAAAATTTACAACTGATTCAGCATCAACTGCCGAAGAGAGTTCCAAATCTCTACCACTCTTTGTGTGTAGGAGTGCTTCCTAACATCTGCCCTGAACAGTCTGGCCCTAGTTTTTAGACTAGACTGCCTAGTTCTATAATTGAGTGGAAAATTGTTTTTATGTTCCTGTCTGTTCCTATTAATATCTTGAAGATGTCTATCAGATCACCCCTTAACTTTTTAAATTCTGGAGAAGACAGGCCTAATTTATACATTCTCTCCTCATGACTAAATTCCTAAAGTCCAGGTATCAAATTGCCACGTCCCCTGGCCCATCCAGACTACCTTTTTCTTTACTTAGTTGTAGGATGTGGGCATCACTGGCTGGGTCAGCATTTATTACACATTCCTAAATGCCCTTGAAAAGGTTGTGATGAGCTGCTTTTAATGTACCCATGCAGCAGTAGGTTAGGGCTGGGGATGAAGCATCCACGGTGCTATAAGGGAAAGAATTGCACAATTCTGACCCAACATCAATGGAGAATAGTTCCAAATCCAGGATGGTGGGTGACCTAGAGGGGATCCTGCAGCTGGTGGTGTCCCCTGCGTACCTGCTGCCCTTGTCCTTCTGGATGGTACAGCTAGGGATGTACAAAGGGACGGAATGAGTTTTAGTGAATGAATGGATGAATTATTTTATTTTAAATGTATTTTATAGCGAGAAAAACAGTAAAATACAATGAAAAGCTTTTCCACCTTCGCCAAGATACGGCCCCATTTTGAATAGTTTAAGAATAAGAAAAAATATTAGAAAGATATATCTTACAGTCCATCACTCCTGAGCCAGCTCATCATCAACAATGCCTGTGCTGCCATCTCTCCTCCACTGCCTTGCTGCCATCTATATTGGATCCAACTAACAGTGAAGTCATCACTCTTCAGGCATCATCTGTCAGTGCTGGGCCGATTCTCCTCCGTCACCGCTTCGCCTCCCCCTGTGCCTGACCCGCCAACATCCGTTTAATGATGAAGCTTTTAAGAGAGAAAGCCTCTGAAAGTCCTGAAGTTGTCATGAATTCTCCAATTAGCTGAACTTCCTTGTCCCCAGTTCCATTCTAATAAGTCTCCCCTGCATGTTCTCTAAGGACTTGATGTTATTCCTTATGGATAAAATCTAGAAAAAAATTCACAAAATTCCAACTGAGGCCAACTCAGTGATTTATTTGTTATGACCAGCCTGCAAGTGAGGTTTCCCAATCTGTTACAGTTCAAACTGTTCAGCAACTAGGTGGGGAGGGATGAACAGATTCCCCACCTCAGGGTTCATCACAAAGGTTAATTTTAATCTGTGCCTTTCCTTTTGTGGCCACCCTTCTCCCACATCCAAAGCTTTTCTTGATCTATCAGAAAGAGTGAGTTTATCAGTGAATGGGGGCATAAATAGTAATATGACACTCATAGAAACATAGAAGATAAGAGCAGGAGGAGGCCATTCGGCCCTTTGAGCCTGCTCCGCCATTCATCACGATTATGGCCGATTGTCCAACTCAATAGCCTGATCCTGCTTTCTCCCCATAACCTTTGATCCCATTCGTCCCAAGTGCTATATCTAGTTGCCTCTTGTACATTCGATGTTTTGGCATCAACTACTTCCTGTGGTAGCAAATTCCACATGCTCATCCCATGAGGCAAACCCAAAAATATAAACAATTAATAAAAAAGATCAGTCTCTGAATTGTTTGTGAAAAGCAGATTGTTTAAATTTGAAGCAGTTGCAATGGGGTTTACCAGTGGCAGTGATGTTGGCAGTTGAACAGTCTGTTTCAAGATTCAGAGATAGTAGGAACTGCAGATGCTGGAGAATCTGAGATAACAAGGTATAGAGCTGGATGAACACAGCAGGCCAAGCAGCATCAGAGGAGCAGGAAGGCTGACGTTTCAGGCCTAGACCCTTCTTCAGAAGGGTCATCCAGCTCTACACCTTGTTATCTCTGTTTCAAGATTCTATGCATTGAGGGTGATTGAAACTTTTTGCTTCTGATTCTTTTTGGCAGTGGAAGGCTGGCTGCACTTGGAGTGAGAGAGTTTTTTTTTCCCTTTTATTCATCTGTAATGAAGAGGTGTTTAAATGACTGTTCCATGAGCTGTGACCTTTACAGCATTCCGGTCCATATACTAGGATGTCAGGCCACTAATACACACAGACCAGGGCTGAAGTGTTTTTAACACTTGTCCCTGTATATTCTTGAAAGGGGTGAGGGGAAATGTAAATGCATCTCTTGGCTGGACTGATGCTTCTTTTATCACCATGTTCACGGTCTGAGATATTCCCAACTGATTGCAATTTCAATTTATTGTGCATTTTCTCTCTTTGAAGCTTCTTTAATGCCTCATCAGGTCTGATATACCAGAGTCTCTATCTACAGCTATTGAGTTTTCACTCTAGTCAATGTTTGGCTGTATGTCCTTTTTTAAAATAAGCCCCGTATTTTGTAATTTAAAGATCAGTGTGTCTTGTAATCAAAGTTGAGCGTGTCCGTTGGTGATCCAGGGATAAGGTTCATGGTCATTATAGTCAACGTTATGGCAGGAACAATTTGACACTGAAATATTGTTTGGTTTTTCAGGCTCTGGGAAAACACTGTGTTGTCTTCAACTGCTCTGAAGGTCTTGATTACAAGGTAAAAATACACTCCTGCATAGATTTAGTCAGTGAAGTAATCAGCCTCTCCTGGAATCTGATTTAATTAGCCCCAATGTACCTCAAACATTTTAGTAGACCAAAGGCAAGGTGGCACAGCAACCTGGTGCACCATTGTCATCAAGAAGCCTGGGATATGTTTGTGGTTAATAATACTGGGACAAGAATTTCCTTTCTCAATCAGTCTCCCTATGTCAAATGGCTGTTCATATGGCTGAAATTGGAAATGAAGAGTGAGATCCGATTATCTCTTCCCAGGATGTAGCAGATGGGTCAGTGTAGAGGGTCTTTACTCTGCATCTAACAATGTGCTTACTCTGTCCTGGGAGGGTTTGACAGGGACAGTGTAGAGGGAGCTTTGCTCTGTATTTAACTGTGTGCTGTACCTGTCCTGGGATTGTTTCATGATGACTTTTTAGAGGGGAATTTATTCTGTATCTAACCCCATGTTGTACCTGTCCTGGGAATATGAGATGGGGAACAATGTAGAGGGAGCGTTACTCTGTATCTAACCATGTGCTGTCTGTTGTGGACCAGACCAAGCCCTCTCAAAATATATTAAGAACGTAGCCTAGATCCCAACTTTTTCTTGTTTTAAAGGCAAGTATACGGCACTGGGTTCCAGATGTAATTTGATTGGTCAGACTTCTAGGCTTGAATCAAAATGCACTTCATACTTACACTGTAGTTAAAATATAAACAAAAGCAAGAAGAATTGGAATAAGGTAACTCTATTGGAAAACTTAACAGAATAATAGATTATTTAGCTACTAATCAGCAACTGTTCCAATGTAGAAACATCCCATAAACACACTATTGGCAAAGGCAAATTCAGTAAAACAAATCATTTCATATGCAATTCTAGCAGCAGAAGAGAACTCAAGCTTTTAGCTGTAACAGAGGGGAATATTAACTTTCACATCCAGCAACTTCAAGACCCCAGCAACTACTGAAAATAAAACTAAAATCCTGGTTCTCTGGGGGCTCATGCTGCTTCTATTGTTCCAATGGTTAAAAAAAAGTCCCAACAAGATTTTTCCTCGTTGGCTTGGAACAGACCATTTGACTTCTCTTTCTCAACCTCTTCATAAAAAACCAGGACAAAATACACACCTTAATGCCATAGTATCACCACACTGACCCTGTCCTGAGGGTGTTTGACTGGGACGATATAGAGGAAACTTTACTCTGTATTGAATACCATGCTGTGCCTGTCCTGGGAATGTGTGACAGGGACAGTGTAGGTGGAACTTCATGGAACTAACACTGTGCTGTATCTGTCTGGGAATGTTTGATGGGGAGAGATAATGTGAACTTTACTTTCAGTTTAAAAGAGCAGAAATCTTTACTGTCAATTTCAAAGGGTAAAGAGAGCTTTACTTCTGACATGTTCTTTATCGAGGTAAACTTTTTCCCCTGAATGTGAAAATATAAAACATCTATGACAGATGGTGTAGCTGAAAACCCACACTATATTTACCAACAGTTGAACAAGTTATTAGATTTTGAACACAGGACTGAATTTTGTGCTGGAGGCATTGGCCTCAGTAGTGTCTGGGAATCTGGGACAACCTGTTTCCGTCATTTTTAGGGTCCCCATTACAATTCTATAGCAGTCAGATCACCGCTGTATGCCGGGACAATCCCTGTCCTTTTCAGTGTGAAAATCCCAGCTCCACAAGCCGCTGGCCAGTCAGGAACATGTAAATGATCCTAATGCTGCTCACAGATGCTACTAAACCTGCTGGATTTCTCTACATTTGTTTCACATAACATGGGGTTGTGTTTAATGGGGCTAATAAGGCTAATGTCAGGTCAAGAGAGAAATCATTTGTGCGGCCATTTTTTGTTTTACTTATTCAGGGATGTGGATGTCATTAGCACAGCAAGCATCTGTTGCCCGTCCCTAATTACCCAGAGGTCTGTTAGAAGGCACTTATTTAGCTGTTGGTCTGGAGTCACATGTAAGCCAGACCAGGTAAGGGCAACAGTTCCTTTCATTCAAGTACGTTAATGAACCAGATGGTTTATATGACAACTGTTACAGTCATAATTAAGCATATTTTGATTAAGCTTTTAATCACTGATCTCTTAAGATTCAAATTTTATTATCTTCTAAGATGGTATTTGAATACCAGGATCAGTTCGCTTAGTTGGCTGGATTGCTGATTTGTGATGCAGGGTGATACCAACAGTGTGGGTTCAATTCCTGGTCACAGTGAAGGTCCTGCCTTCTCAACCTCACCCCTCACCTCAGGTTAAACACAACAACAGTCATCTCACTTAATGACAGCGTGGTACTGTGGTGATTTTACTATTTGACTATTAGAATTTGGGATTGCTAGATCAGGGAGATTACTATGGTCCACTACCTACCCTTACCCTGTTGTTTCGTTGAGAGTGGAGGAAGATGTCTGTATGGACTGCCTGGTCAGGAAGGTCCCACCCCCCCGATGCTGCAGGAACTCTGCCCACAACTCAAATAGCAGTGGTGGCTGGAAGAGGGAATTATTTGGCAACTTATGGGTCTCACTTGGTCTCCCACAGGGATACTGTCCTCAACCTTTCCTGGATGAAGTAAGGTGGAGTCTGAAAGGCAATGGGAAAGCCACCACCCTCACATCCTACTCTCCCTCCCAGTGTTATATCCCTCTCCCACATCTCGCTACCTGCTCCCATGGGCTACATTATACTCTGTGATTATTTTTTTCTGAATGTGTGGGAATTATTCTTTGGGAATCAGAAATTATCAGATTCACTGCAGCATGTGATTAAATGGTAACTGATCATTAATCGGCTGTTGGTCAGGGTTCAATGAAACAAAGCCCTAATTTCTGAACTCTTTAAAGATCATGTTGAGGTCCTGCTTGGTGGGTTGGTGGGTTTGAAGCATTACCTCCAACTGTTTGGATTTGTTAATTACTAGCTAAACAAACATGTTTATTAGCATTATAGATCTCAGCAAATGCTGGATGTTAATGCTAAGGTATAATATAATCTATATTCCTGCCTTCAGCAGCATCTATCACCTTGTCTCCTTTTCTTTTAGAATTAGAATTAGGTTTTATTGTCACATGTACTTAAGTACAGGGATACAGGAGTACGGTGAAAAGTGTACAAAGTCGTCATTCTCCATTGTCATCCTAGATACAAAGTACCTGGCTACAAAATCTTAGGTGTAAAGTAGAAAATAAAGAAATAAAGTTCAAAGTTACAGTCCTTAAGTGTTTAGCCATGGGCCTGGATCCAGGCTCTTCCATTCTGATGCTGAGACCATCACCAACAGGGGCACCCCCACCGCACCACTGCTGCAGATCTGTGTCACTATTCTTCAGCACCATCTTGCCTGTGCCAACAGTGTCACTACCATGAGACCATGCTGGGCTGAGCTTGGCAATGCAGTCACCCTTGAAGCTGCTGGGTGCTCTCCACAGAAGGTAAGTAAGGTTAACGTAAAAAAAAAAGCAAAGACCGGAAAGAAAAGAAAAAGCAGACATAGCAGATAAGTCCATGCTGGGCTTCTCTCAGGTCTGCGCCGGTTCAACTTGTCACTACCGATGTCGTCTTTAGATGTTGTTCTTCATTCAGAGCCTGATAGATCCAAAGAGCCGGCCAGGATTTTGGAAAGTGTCTCACAGTTGCATCTTGGAGCTCACAGCAGTTGGAGTTATAATTCCCCCTGCACTCCCAGCTGAACCCAAGCACAAGGTCCTGTGCAGTCGAAAGGGAATATCATCTTGGATGGTACTGAGACTGTGGGCTCTAGTTGTCACTGAATCAGGAACTGCCAGGACAGCACAAGGCAAGGAGATCCCACTGCTGAATTCTGAAGGCTGCAAAGTTGAAGCCACCTGCACAGGTTGCAACCCTGAAAACTTGCTGAATCCTCCACTCTGGTGACATGTATAACTGCTGCTATTCCTGCCTGTAGAACTATTCCTTACCCTCTAAACTCCTGAAGGCAATGAAATATCCAAAGGAACAGGAAGAAGCCGTTCAGCCCCTCCAAATGTATTCTGTTCATTCAAGGTGTTTGCTCTGAGCAAATGGAGCTGCTTCTAAACAATGGATCTCAAGAATGTTCAGTATGCACTGATAAAATTAGGATTAGATGGAGAATAAAATGCACGCAAAATCAAGAGTACAAAAAGGCAGGAATAAACAAACATAAATATCAGAACAAGACATAACCTACAAACTGCTCACTCAAAGTAACATTCACACCAAATAGGTGCTAGGTAATGAGCATCTCCAACAAGAAAGAATCCAACTACCTCCCCTCAACATTTAGAGGTGTTATCAATTCCCATTATCAACATCCTTGGGTTCACCATTGACCAGAAACTGAGACGGACTAGCTGTATAAGTAGCCTGCCTACAGGAGCGAGTTAGAGGCTGGGAATTCTGTGGTATATAATTCATGTCCTGACTCCTTAAAGTCTGTCTACAGATTACAAGGCATAAGTCAGGAATGTGATGAAATTCTCCCCATTACCTTGGTGAGTGCAACTCCAATAACACTCAAGAAGTTTGAAGTCATCCACTTTTTTTTTGGTATATTCATTCATGGGATGTTGGTGTCACTGGCTATGCCAGCATTTGTTGCCAATCCCTAATTGCCCAGAGGGCAGTTAAGAGTCAACTACATTTTTGTAGGTCCGTTGTATGGTGGAGGCCAGACCAGGTAAGGATGACAGATTTCCTTCCCTGAAGGACATTAGTGAACCTAAAACTTGGTTGGTACCCCATCCAACATTTTCAACATTCACTTCCCTTGCCACTAAAACACAGTGGCAACAGTGTTTACCATCTGCAAGATGTGTTGCAATAAATCAGTAAGGCTCCTTAGAGGGCACCTTCCAAACCCACGACCACTTCCATCCACTAGGAGAAGGGCATTAGATACATGGAGAACACCACAACTGGCAAATTCTCCTCCAAGCCACTCAGCATCTTGACTAGGAAATATATGGCTGTTCC